AACAATTCAAGGGACATGAAGTAGTTTCTTTCAACTGTTTTACATTATACAAACACATGCATGAAGGGTATTTGGTCACTGTTTGAAGTTCTCTACTAACTACTCCCAGACAACGTACAGCACTAGCTAAAAGTATGTGCATATATTTGTCTAATTACTCAAGGGGAAAAAAGAACTAAATAAAGATATCCATTCTGCACACAAATGCATGTATAAATTCTATTCCTTCATTGATTTTTCAATGATTTTTTTTCTTGTCAGCAGTTGATTTTCTTCTTGGTGGGAAATCATTATTTTTAAATGTACAGAACCTGAAGTCCATCTGTTGCAGCAATGAAGGCTTCGAAAATAATTCCAATCACCTAAATTACATTGTTTCAAATGATTTGTATCTGTGAGCAGGAACCCACAAGGATCAAATTTGACCTTTGGCTTCACATCAGACCATCCAAACCCAAACCCTGCATCTGAGAGCAGTGTCCCAACACTCCCTGAACTCCAGCACTGGGGCCGTGCCCACCGCCCTGTGCATCCCGTTCCGTGCCCACCGCCCTGTGGTGCAGCCCCTTTCCCTGACCCCCAGCTGCCCTCCCCTCACACAGCTCCATGCCGTTCCCTCGGCCCTGTCGCTGTCATACACAGCAGAGCTCAGCGCTGCCCTCCGCTCCCTGTGAGGAGCTGCAGCCCCCATGAGGGCTCCCCTCAGCTCCTCTGCCCTGTGCTGAGCACACCCAGGGACCTCAGCCGCTCCTCACACACCTTGCCCTTCAGATGCTATTCCATAGCTTCATGCCCTTCTTACATTGTAATAGATATGAAGCTTCACAGTGCAGAGCAGAGGGGACAACCCTTTGCCTCGTCCAGTGGCAGCATTAAGTGCAGGTAAAGATGACATTAAATGCCCTTTTTTTAATCTACATCCCTATTTGTGAGGGAACCAGCCTCATCTAGTAATGAACTGGTTGTATCTCTGCTCCTCCTTTTGCTGTGTTAACTTCAGTTTAAACATCCTTTTTGTTGTACCCCACAGTACTGGACGTCTAATTGACCTCTAATTGTGCTTTGGCTACCTAAATTTTTTTCCTGCAGTAGCCGTGGCCCCATCCAGTCCCGCCGCCACCCACCAGGGGATGTCACCCTCAGCACCACACATTCCAGCAGCTCAGCAGGTACCAACGTGGAGGAGTTCCCCATCACATCCAGCTGAGTCCTCGGCTGGGGTGCTAGTGAGCTCCCTGCCGCAACCAGCCCTGAGAAGCAGGGGCAGGAGGCAGCTGGTCTGTCTGAACTGGGCCGCAGGAAGGCACGAAGCGCTCGGCTTGGGAGCTCTGGAGCCCCATGAAGAGGAGGGCCTGCAGCACCCAGGGCATTCCCCCAGCCCTCTAAGAGGCGGCCCACCTGGCACTCCTAGCAGGGCTGTCTCACTCAGATTGTCAGAGGGGAGATTCTTTGCTGTACCTGGAATAAGACTGAGACGCAGGTCATGAGCAGCGCCTGTGGGCGTGTAGGTTTATGGATCGTTCTCTCTCTAGAAATGAGCCCTCAAAACGCTGCCCACCAGACATTCAGCAGCTGCTTTTGTCTGGCAGCTGCTTACCTCTCATTACCCCTGGCCTTCATGTCTTCAGACTAAAGATTTATAGATTTGTCCATCAGCTGTGTGCAGGTCTTACGATGCCTACTTTTTCTAGTTCCTGCACCCTTCTTGAGATTTCCTCTTGCCCCCCAGGAGTCTATACTGCTTAGCATCAGCAATCCAGCAGCAATCTGCAGACAAACAGGCTCATGTTTAGCATAATGGCACTTAATGGCACTTGCACCACTAGAACCTTTCTCTTAGTCTGAAATCTCTCTCTGGAGAGTCAGATCCAAGAGTGTATCTATGCCCAGAATATATTCAGGGACAGGGGCAAAACACACCTTATACTCTTGGGATGGGAGATGCCCAACCCACCCATTGCATGCACCGGACATCCCCTGCCTTCCTATAATGTGCTCCATCACTGTTTAAAGCCATGACTTAGCACTTCCACTATAAGTAATCATAACCATTTTATCTGTCTTCACTGTACCACTTCATAAAGGAAATTACAAGACTTACAAGTTTGCAAAGCAGTTTTGAAAAAACTCAACTAAGCAAACTAAAGAATTATACTTCCGTGGTAGAGATTGTTTTCTGAACACACTATTAATTAACCTACCAAAGAGTTGGTGGAAGTCAGACAGAAATCAATAAAATTAAACATTTATGAATGGTTTTCTAGGAACAAAGCATACAAAATCTTTATTTACAAAAATTAATGTTACTTGGCGATCCCAGCAATGTCATGGTGAACACTGCACAGTTTCTGCTGGGCTTCTGCTTAACTCATGTAAGTGATCACATACCATGTTGAAAAATGATAGGCATGTGTTCCATTCAGCTAAACAAGGAATTAAATAAATGGCCTTTCATTTAGTGATAGATAAAATATTAGCATATTCCAGTCAAAGACAAGGGGGAATTCAGCTCAGGCTCAAGTCCAGCTTTCTGGAGCATGGGAGACAGAACACTGAAAAGCAGCTTGACACAATAAGAGAAGCACTGCCAGTGAGCCCCTAGAGAATAAGTGATAAAGCAAGTTTCCAGTGCAAAGTGGAAAAGCAATCTTTAAAGCAGGAGGAAGGGAACCACCACTTGAATCAACACTACAGGACTTTGCATATAATCCTTGTAAGAAAAACATTTTTTGTATCCTCTTTTCCACTAGACATTTGATTCAGATCAAAAAGGGAAACAGTCAAGGAACAGACAAAATTCAGTTCCACTGAAGCATGCAGCTGATTATTTTTTCAGCACCTAAGACAGAAGAAGTAGCAATAGTTTCCACGTTACATTTAGTTCAGTAGCTATAGTTCCCTCAGAAAATTCCTTACTGGCAATTTAGTTGTTTTTTGAGATTGAAGCCAACACTTTTCACAAATCTCTAACATACTAGGCTATTTTATACAAAATATTATTAAACCTAACCAGAAAAGCTTATCTATCAGCTGACGCTGTCCTTCAGCAGTTCAATGTGGAAGGCCAGCACGCTGCCGAGCGCAGTTCGAGTTGCACAGAGGCTTGTGAACGTCCAAGCTGCAGTGCCTTGGAGCTCAACAACGAAACCTGACGCTGGCCTAGCGTCCCTTCGTGCAATGATTATACAGCTATTCACGGCTGTATTTTGCCATAGCGACCGTAACTAAAATACAGCATTATCGTTATTAGAACTCTAGGAGACAAAGCCTCATGGCTGAAGGTTGTCCCTGCACGGACAACCAGACGGCTCAGCAAACGTGGCAGCGGCAGCAACGCCGAACCCGGCGGCGCCATTTCGCGGCCCGCCGCTCGGGCAGAAGGACGCCCCCACCGGGCGCCCAGAGGGCCGCCGGCCCCGCCGCAGGAGACGTGGCGACGCGTGGCGGGGGGCGGGACCGCAGCGCGGGGCGGTAGGGCGCGCGCGCCTCGCCGCAGAGGCTGACGGGAGTTGCAGTCGGCAGCGGGGCCGGCGGGCGCCTCGTTTGTCGGTGGCTGAGGCTCGGGTCGCCCCTTCCCCTCCGCGCCGGTTCGGCCGGTCCGCTCGTGGTGCTCGGAGGGGCCGATCCGCGGCGCCGGGGCTCGGCGGCGCCTCCCGTCACGCCGCGGGAAAGTGCCGCGTCGTCACCCGTCGTCCCCGGCGGCGGGAGGGAGTGGCCGCAGGGCCGGGCTGGGCAGGGCGGCGGGGCCGGAGCGCCTCCGTCGCCGCCCTCGCTCGCCGGTCCGACTGCAGCGGTGCGGGCCCGAAGCGGCTGGGGCAGGTGCGGGGCTCGGGGCGCTGCGGGAGGCCGGGATCCGCCGGGGGCGGAGGTGAGAGGTAGCGGGGCCGGGAGAAGCCGGCGGAGGGTCGAGCCGTCCGCCTAGGCCGCTGCCGCGCCGCGCGAGTGCGGATAGAGGGTCCGGGCGGAGGCCCCGGCACCCCCACTCCGGGCAGGTTCCCCAGGCAGCCCTGCGGCAGACAGCCCGGGCCGGCACGACGTACGTTTCCGCTTGGCTGCTGCTGGCACGTTGCGGTGCGCGGTGAGTCACCGGCTGCCCTGCCCGACTGCCTCCAGGGGCTCCGGGTGTCCGGCTCCGACCTGGGCGACCCGCGCGGTGCCGGTGTCAGTGACCGCGGGCACTGACCGTCCACTCAAGGACCGGCTTCTGTCTGACAGGCGGTGCTGCAGTGTCGGTGCAGACGCTGGAGGCACTGCTGAAGTGAATTGCCCTTGATTTGAATGATTCACTCTCTACCTCACAAAAAGAGCGTGCTTTTTTTTTCTTTTTTTTTTTTTTTTAAAAAAAAAAAAAAACCAACAAACCAGCATCTGGAAGTGCAGCAGCTGTTACATCTCATCATATCGACAGCTCCCTGAAAGTAAGCAGAGTCAAGGTGGGAGTTGGCCTCTTCTCCCAGCTGACAGCAAAAGGACCAGTGGGAATGGCGTTAAGTTGCACTTGAGGGTGTTTGGGTTGGATATTAGGAAATGTTGCTCTTCTGGAGCAGTAACAGTGCATTGGAATGGGCTGCCCATGGAGGTGCTAGAGTCACTGTCCCTGGAGGTGTGGAAGAACCATGTAGATACCTCACTGAGGGACATGGTTGGTAGGCATGGTAGGAATGGGTTGCTGGTTGGAGTCAGTGACCTCAGAGGTCTTTTCCAACCTTGGTGATTCTGTGATTATATATTGAATCAGTAGCTCTTTACTGTGGTTAACAATAATCGGAGGTCTTGAGAGCTATACTGCGTCTGTGATATTTAAAAAGAAAAACTTGACAAAGTTTTACATATTATGGAACAAATCCTAAGGGTTAGAGGTATACTGAGAATGTGGGGAACAAAGTAATTCTCAGAAGATTAGAAAGCTTTTAGGCAAGTAAAAATGCCTGATTTATATATTGCTTACAGTGAAACTTTTTTTTTTTTTTTTTTTTTAACATTATACATGAACTATGATATCCCTATCAGCAATAGGACAAGCCCTTCTAGCACACCTGGCATTTCAGTCTGTCTTGGTGCTGTGACAGGTCTGAAGAACACTGGGTTCCACTTGGTAAAAACTTTTTTTAATTGAAAAATGTTGTGGGTGTTTTGATTACAACTATTTTTGTTATTAGTATGAAATAAGTGTGGGAAGGTTCTTAATTACTTTTTATTATTTTTTTTTTTTTCTGCACATTATGTGCCTCACTTTGCACTTGAGGGCGATCATTTAATACCGGATGATTAGACTCACAATCCCTGCGTGCCCTTCCTTTGGCTTCCGTGTGGCTTTGTATGCCCTCTGGCACCTTCCCGCAGTCACTGAAGGAAGTTTTATCCCTGTCCTTCTCTCTCTTTCTAACACAGAATAAAATAATGTGAGGAATGAAGGTTTTATACTTACTGCACTTAGAACACAAACTGTGTTTTTGATTGGGGTCAGCTTCACTTCGTCTTCAGTAGGATGCCTTCTGTATTGTTTTCTTTTTTTTGTGTACATCTTGATCCTTTTGTTTTTAACATCTTTTTGTCAAGTCTGTATGAGTTCTTGTGTCCCCTTTTGTGTCCCCCTTGGTCTCACTGTGTTCAATAGAATTTTGTCTCTGTGACACAGTTGATGCAACCTGGGATGTAACATTTAATTGAAGTGGTGGTTGCTTTGGGAATGGTTCCTGACTGGATTAGACATAAGGAACAAATTTTTCGCTCAGAGAGTGGTCAGGCACTGGAATGGCTGCCCATGGAGGTGGTGGAGTGGCTGTCCCTGGCAGTGTTCAAGAGGCGTCTGGATGAGGAGCTGCGAGATACGGCTTAGTGGTTTATAGTAGCAGTGGCAATGGGAGGACGGTTGGACTAGGTGATCTTGTAGGTCCTTTCCAGCCTTGTGATTCTATGACTCTCTGAAATAAGTAACTGACTGCTGCTTGTTCTGGAAAGCTGCCAACTTGTGTGTAGCTGTCACTGGTGACGGCTGCTTCATTGCTCTGCTTCACGCATTTAAGTAAAACAGATATGCATATGATCATTTAAACATGAGAAGTTTAATAGCATTTGAGATCAATATTACAACTACTTTTTTTCATTTCAGGCTCTGCTTGAAAAAAAAACCAATGATGTTGCCTGTTGAGGCTCTTAAGTACATTGGCTTTGTTTATTAGCAGGAGTGTCTACTGAAAGGCAAGAAGGGGTTAATAAGAATGGCAGAAAATATGACCGAGCATAAACTCTGAAGCCTGTCTGATTTCTGGATAATATCTTCTTATCCATGTGAAATTTCCTATCTCCATTTGTTGGTAATCTCACCATTAACTGTCAATTTCTGTATTTTGGAGTAATAACCTGAAGAAAAAGTTTTGAAGGATGGTAGTGTCATTTTGTCAAAAATTGAGATTATTGGAAAATACGGAAACAAATGCAATTACTTCCTATTAAACTTAAGTAAAGAAAATGATTAACTTGCTTGTTCAATCTCCAAATCAAAAGCTTCCTGCTTTTAACATGAGCTCTGTTAAAATTTTCCGTCAGATCTGGAGTCCATTGTTCCCCTCAGTGTATACAGACCTTGCCTTTGGGAACTCACCTACGGGCTGAGGTTGACTGTTGAGAGTCAGCATGGTTATTTCTCAGCTACAGAGTGGCCTTTTGGGTCTGGCCATATTTTTTTAAACCAAAAAACTGTTGGGAACTCAACATGATTCGTGCTGCTTCTTGAAGGGGTAAATTTAAAGATGACTGAACATTGTATGCACAGACTTGTTTTTTTTTCTTTTTTTTTCTCTGCATTGATTTTTCTTACATCCCTTCTTTTGATTTTGTAAAAGTATAAATGAAGATTTTCTTATATATGGTGAGTCTTATCAAATTTCTGAAGTCAACTTCTGGTTACAAATCAGTAGATGGCAGTACTGATGTAATTTTTGCCTCCTAGTACATACTTCGCTTCGGTTGTTTCAGAATTTTTCCTTTGTCTCTTTAGTTTATTAATACAAAGTGTTCTGGTTTGCAAGAAGGAGAAGTCACCTCTTTTGTTGTTGTTATTTGCTGGGTTTTTTAAGTAATTTTTTCATCTACTTCTGTTTCATTATGTGGCTTTATTTTGAAAAATCTTCGCTGACCATAAAGCAGCACTAGAGGAAAGGGGTGAAACAAATAATTCAGTAAAGCTGACATGATGTGCATTTTCCGTCTAAGCAGCCTAACTTGCAGATGTGCAGCATGGCTGCTGTGATGAACATTTCATAGAAAGTTAGGTGCATTAAAAATGTGTCTGTAAAAGCAGAAAATCTCACTGTAGCTTTCTGTAATGATTTGTATCCTTAAGAAATGAAACTGAATTTTTGAGAGCTCTTGGCAGTTGATTCTGTTTGTGGCCTGGAGTGTAGATAATGATTTTTTTAAAAAGTATTTTTTTGTTTATTTAGAAGTCACTTAAGCACAGGCTAGTTCCACATTCAGCAGTAACAAGGAGTTCCGGAATTTGTAGGATTCTGGAATTTCTGGAGCTTTTATTCATCTTCTTTGAGGGAAGTTGGAAACCCTTGCTGGAAAGTTTGTTGAGGACTGAAAACTGTTGAAATCTTTGATTTCCTTGTGTTTTTTTTTTTGTTTGTTTGTTTGTTTTGTTTTCATTCTTTCGTGTCTCTTACATTCTGCTTGCTTCCTGATTTCTGATATACAGCTGTGTTCAGGCAAGCCATTTATATTCAAGTGCTAATCTGAATCCATATGTGCTGCAGAATTAGTTTTAATTATATACCATGGTGGATTATTTTGACATGATGAGCTATTCTGTCCCAAGTACATCTGTTATTTTTCTTTCCTTACCTTTTGCGTATTCTCTTCTCTCTTTTCTTCTTAACCATTTAAAAGAAGACAAAAAAAAAAGTTCATGCAGCGCACACAAACTGCTACTGACTTATGTTGAGAACTCAGTGTTTAGAAAGCTGCTGTTTGTGCAGGCTGCCAGGTCAAAACTTCACAATGAGTTTGATGGTAATGTGATGTTTCTCAGTCCTGTCTTCTATGGGTCTTGCTCTGTTTCCCTCTTGAGGCTGCTTAGACAAGTGCAGAAGAGTATCTTGGGGTGGAAGGGACTTGGGAAACAGAAGTAGATGGAAAATGTGAGGAGATGCATGAGCCACAAGAAAAAGACTGTGGGAGCATTTAGGTTTCAGAGTTCTCTGGTTGGCAAAGGGTTGGGAAGGTGAAAAGGAAAAGAGTGAAGGATTGGGAGGGGGGAACAATATATTGCAGGCAGCTGTTGTTATGTGCTACGTGTGAGGATTAAGGAGTTTGTTTGCCTTTCCACCCAACCAATTACAGAAGACTGTGTTGTGTACTTGGCTCAGAGGACAGACATAGGGGAAACAGAGCAGTGAGCCTCTGATGGTACTGCTCAGAGGGCATCCATCTTGTTGAGGACAGTGCCTAGCAGTGAGTACTCAGGACCATACGGCCCAAGGTAGGGAAGCAAGTCCTACAGCTGTCAGACTGGACTACCCCCTCATGCTGTCTGCTGGCCATGCTGCATCTGTGGGTTGTTGGCTATCTCACAGAGGTGGACAAATGAGGAGAGAAAATGTGAAAACAACAGCACTTTTGTTTGTTTGAATTAAAACTGTAAGTTCTTCATGGAGCTCTTGAAGAGAGGCTCCCTGGAATCTTTTCAGTCACTGTACATGGCCACAATATTGAACTATGTTACTAGCTGAAATTAAGCAGCAGATCAGCAGAGAATTGATAAAACAAAATGTTTCTAGGAGATTTTGGCCAATGATCAGTTGCTCAGTGGAGAATTCCTTCATGCTTTGCAGTGAGTAGTTGGAAGAAGAATGACTTCAAACAAAAAAAGCTTTTACAGGAGGGAATGTAAACTCACGTAACTTGATTAAAAGGCAGAATCTTATCAGTATGAACTCTTCTACATTGTGAAGTTTAACAGAAGGCTGGGTGCAGTTCCTTTCTAAAGGATGATAAGGCGGACGTGCTAATTTTGTACAGACAGCCTGGACCCCACCAATAACTGTCCTGCCCATCCTGTCTAAAGAGAGGCTTTTAAGTGGATTAAAGAGTTGTTCTCATTTTTTAAAGCTATTTTGTTCTTATTTCTTTGAGAGAAAGAGGGAAAATGTATTTTTGCAAGTGGAATTAGTCTTATGTATGTGAGTTTTTTTAATCACATTACCTAATCCTTTTCCTCTACAAATTGTTAAGGGAGTAAGCTGGCATTTCTCAGTAGCTGTTCAAATAGTGGATATTGTGTAAAATGCTTGAGTGTGTCAAATTTTCAAACATATAGTTACTTTATGTAGGATTTTTCTTCTGTTAAAGTTTCCTTGGGAAATTTTACCTCAGAGAGTGGAGCAAGTTGCTGCTGTGCAGCTTACCAGGGTTGGGAGGAAGCAGGGCCTCTGCAACAATGCAAGTATTGCTTTTCTAACTGTTGCCTTTTCTTCATCTGTAGCTTCATACTTCCATTTATTTTTTCTTTAATAAGCATATAGCTTTACTTTTTTGGAAGTAGTATATCCGCAGGTTTACTCAGAGGAGCTACAAAGTAATGGCAACGTAACTTGGCCTTCAAAATACAAGCACATTTTTTTCCATTTACTTTCATTTCTGACTTTAAATGGCCTGATTTTTGGGTGGTGCTGTGTGGAGCCTGGAATTGAACTCAATGATTCTTACGAGTCCTTTCCAACTTGGGATACTCTGTGACTCTACTGTTATCAGAATAGTATGATATTAATATATATAATACTATGATATTTGATATGATATCCTGTCCCCCACCCCTGGAATTGGAATTTAAATTGCCTTCTCTGTAGGATAACTTAACTTACTGTGTTGTGGCCCTCATATTTTAGGGGAAAAATATTTGACACCTTTCTGCAGGTATGCTTTTTAAAATTTTTTTTCCTGACAGGTTTTTGTAGCTGAAGGAAAATGATGGAAGAGAGCGGAATAGAGACAACTCCACCTGGTACACCCCCACCAAGCACAGCAGGATCTACTGCTGCCTCTGCTACTCCTGTCTCATTAGGTAAAGAAACTTATTCTGCAATCACATTTAGTCATGTGTTTTGAAGTACAGCCATTCATCCAAAAATGTGTCACAATCAGCATGATTACGATGCTCTTCGGACTAATTTGGAGAATTAAAACTATTTTTTAATCATGGAAGTCTGCTTATTTGGCATTTTTGTGACATACAGAATATTTTAATCGTATTTTTGTTCTTGAATTTTTTTAATGAAGTTACGTGTGTACACTTGCAGTTTTTTTAAGGATATGAGTCCAGAAGAATTGTAACTTACACTGCAGCATATAATTAGAATATCAACATAGAAAGGAGTTAAAAAACAAATTTACACTCTGGTAGGGAGTAGTAGTAATCCTGGATAATCATTTTTTAATACTGTAGGTGGAAATCAAAGCCATGTGTATAATCAAAGAATATTAGGATGTTATAATCACAAAATAAACAAGAGAGTTAGGCAAAGCAGACTGTGATAACAAAAGAGAATAAATAGAAGGCTTACCCCTATCCTGGGCTCACTCACAAAACACCAGCAGAGGCAATCTCCAGAAGAGATCCTTCCCCACTGGTAGCCAGCTCTTAAATAGGTCTAGGAGGGGTGGAGCCTGGCTCCACCTGTTCTGGCAGCACAGGTGAATTGCCTTCAGCTGTGCTCCTCTGGCTGACTCATGGCTCGCCTCAGGTGATGAGAAGTTCAGGCCATCACTCAGCAGTTCCCATACACCATATGTGCATTGTATCTGTTGGTTTTTTTTTTTTTTTCCTAAGAATCTGAGCAGCAAGTTCTGAATACCAAATATTTCTTTTTTTTTTCTGGTACATCTTCTAGTTTGTGCAGTGACCTCCAGAGTGCTGTGTATTTACCCTATGGGGTGTGTAAGGCAATGCACTACATTGTGAGAAGAAATCATTAGAACTTCTGTTGATATATATTTTTATCCATTCCAGTTCCTGCAATTGAGTGAAGTAAGAAAACAAGCTTTATGAGTAATATTTGCCGTAGCCCTGCAGCATTGACTTGATTGGTCTGTGTGTCAGTGACATGTTGTACATGAGATGTCCTGATGAAAGAGTAGATGTTCCCTAACACAGAGAGCTTGAACAGTACCTCTCTTGCTTGGTCACTTTCCATGTACTGCAGTGTTGTCTGTGAGGTTTAGTGGATTTATGAATTATGCTGTCTAGTTTTAACTAAACTGACCCTCACAAAATGGGCATGTGGCCTAGAAATATTGCAGTGGAGAGATCACAGATCGATTATAGTGTTAATTATGTGACTGCCAGTGAGCAGCAAGGAAATGACAGAGCTGACACTTCTGCTCCGCATAAGAGTGTTTGTCAGATCTAAGAAGTTGGCCAACCTCCTACTGCCAGTATAACCCCACTGAACCACATGTCCCTTAGTATCACATCTAAACATTTTTTTAACAACTCCAGGAATGGTGAATTGTCCACCTCCTTGGGCAGGGGAGCGAGAAATGCAAAAAGTGCTAGAGGATGTTTCTGATGCAGGTAATTTTACAAGAACAACTTCTAAATGGTAGAATCTTTACAGTACTTTAAGATGAAGATTTATCATGAACATCTTTTGTACCACACGGATGTTTGCTTTGTGGCAAAGTGCTTTAAAGGGTTGTTCAGCTTAAAGATGAATTAGAATCATAGAATCATAGAATTGCTCAGGTTGGAAAAGACCTTAAAGATCATCGAGTCCAACCACAACCTAACCATACCCTAACTCTTAACAACCCTCTGCTAAATCATGTCCCTGAGCACCACATCCAAATGGTTTTTAACACATCCAGAGATGGTGACTCAACCACCTCCTTGGGGAGCCAATTCCAGTGCTTAACAACTCTTTCTGTAAAGAAGTTTTTTTCTGAGTTGCGTATTTTTCTTCTCTAAAAAGACAAATTTTCTGACCTGTTCCATAATGACAGTGCCAGCACTGTGTTACCTAGCAGATATTTTCAAAAAAGGTTGTTTGGAAATGTTTCCATCATTATGTAATGCTTTTGCTGAAAATGATACAAGTATATTGCCTATACAAACTCTCACATCTGTGCACTTTGATAACTTATTTAAAAATCTTCAAAAGAATGGGTTTGTGGATTTTGAGTGGATTTTGAATCCTTTTCTTAAAATATTAAAAATTCAACGTTATTGTACATTCTGTTTGTTTCTTATTAACTTGAATGAATTTACAAGCTGAATTTAAAAAAAAAAACGTTGTGTAATTGTGAATGGGAGTGGAAAATGAGTATCCTAATGTAGTAAGCACAGTGAGTGATGTGCTTCCTCCATGTGGATCTATGTATTTTTGTGAAGCAGCTTTTCCACCTATGACAGATATTAAAATCACATGTCAGAATAAACTGACCACGAGACCAGACCTTTGAATCAGTCTATTGCAAAGTGTTAAACCAAGATTTTAAACAATAGTGAGGCTTATTCAGTCACATTTTTCTCACTAAAAATTCAGTATTAATAATAGTATTATGTGGTATATTAATGCTTGAATTGAAAGCATGGGATACTGTCCCCACATAGCATCCTTGTGTCTAAAATGAACAGACACGGATTTGATAGCTGGACCACTCAGTGGATAATTGGTGGGATGACTGCACTCGAAGAGTTGCTGTCAGTGGCTTGACGTCCAAGTGGAATCCAGTTATCAGCAGTGTAACAGGAGTTAATATTGAGATTGCTGCTATTTAATGTCTCTAATGCATGGAGTATGGAATTGAGGGCACTCTCAGCAAGTTTGTGGGTGACACTGAGTGGTGAGATCAGTATGTTGGAAGGAAAAGATGTTGTGCATCTTTTCACAAGCTTCATAGGCTTCACAGGCTTGCGAAGTGGGCCTGTGTGAACCAGATGAGATTTAACAAGTCCAAGTATAAGGTCCTCAGTCTGGATCAGGGCAATCCCACACCTGAATACAGACTGGGACAAGAGCTTTTAGAGAACAGCCCTGCAGAGAAGCATTTGGGGTTTCTGGTGAATGAAAAGCTTGATATGAACCGGAAGAGTAATGGCTTTAAACTTTAAGAGGGGAGTTTTAGGCTAGTTTTTAGGAGGAAATTCTTTACTTAGAGTGTGGTGAGGCATTGGAACAGATTGCTCAGAGGAGCTGTGAATGCCCCAACCTGGAGATGTTCCAAGTCAGGTTGGATGGGACTTGAGCAGCTTGGTCTAGTGGTAGGGGCTTTGAAAATGAATGACCTTGTAGGTCCTTTTCTACCCAAATCAACTGTGCGTATGCCCAATTACTGTTTCTGGTACATACTGATAGTATTTAGATGAGTGATATTACATTTCAGGAAGAATGGTGCTAGCTATAAATTTCTGAGGCAACCTTCAGCAACTGTTAATTCAGTAGACAAATGCTAGCTCATCTTCCTAGCTTAAGGCAAATAGAGTAATGCAAAGCTACGTGGCTTACATAATACTGTCACTAGGAATTGATTGAAGTCAATGTTTTTTTGCACATTTATGCAGAACTAAAATTTCCTTTGAAGGGCAAAAAGCAGATGATTTCAAAACTTGCTTGTAAAAACCTAACCAATTCTCTAACTGAATCAGTTAGGCTAAGGCTTAATACTTCTAAAATGTTTTTTTTCTTGTTCTCTCTCACAGCTTTATCCAGTCCGCTTGCTACACCAAGCATATCATCTCCAGCATACTCTCCACCTTTGCCAGCTGCAGTGGCTCTGCTTCCTCCTCCTATAATGACTTCAGCTACACCTTCATTCGTGCCTTCTGCAGCAGTTTCTACTATTGCTCCACCTCTGGCTCCTGCCCCAGCTCCTGTTACCTCTTCAGCTTTTAGTACCTCTCTGCCTCAGTTCTCTGCACCTCCTCCACTAAGCTCCACAACTGGTTCTGGTCTTTCTGTACCTCCCACTGGTCCACCCATTTCAGGATTTTCTCTGTCTTCAACCTATGATATTACCAGAGGTCATGCTGGTCGAGCACCACAAAGCCCACTGATGCCATCATATTCTGCACCTCCAGTTACAGGTAACTTTTTTTTTTGTTTGTTTACCTTTTCGTTTGTATGCTTTTATATTGATGAGAGAGACAGAATGAGGGATCTCTTGGGTGTTTTTTTCCACCACTCTGCTAGAGTCCTACAAGTTCAAGTTCTTAGTATTCCAGCTACATTTAATTAATGTACCTGCACGTGGCAGAAGAGAGAGTAGCCTTTAGAACACAGACATGGTCTGGAACAGAGTTCCCTTTTGCTGAGTTCTACTAGTATCTAGACTTACAGAAAAAACATTTTTTGAGAGCTGTGTTTTTTGTTATCTTGCACAGGAAAGTCAGCTGAACATGAACAGAGAATCAATTCTAGCCATTGTAGCAGTATCTCAGGCTGTAATCTCATATATAATTTATCTATAGTAAACTGCTCTTCCCATGAGACCAGCTTCTGTTTTCTTGTTTCCAGTCACTAAATTGCATTAGGGCAGCTAAAAATAAACATCTTTTATGCAAATGGTTGCTGTAGTTGCTGAACTGATGTCATTTTTGCTAGTGGAATGGAAACTTGGCTGTTGGATATCAGGCCATGGTTTTACTGATGCTGGTGATATCTCCTTTAAGTGGTCTGTATTAGGCAAATGTTTATAAAGACCTCTCATTTGGGCAATATAAGATAAAAATAACTCTTGATTTCTTGTGTTGGAAAATGCTGGATATTTCTATTGTTTTTCTTTTGTCTTCTTTAAAATATGTAAAGATTTTTGGTTGTTTGCTCCTCTTTCTATTGCTACTGTTTTCGAGTGTGCAGGGTTAGAAATTTTCCTACCTCTTTTTATTATGTATGAGAACATTCCTGTCTCTTTGTTCAAAGAGCAACACCCATTTCTCTTTTTCCTCTACAGAGGGCTCTAGTGAATATCTGAGTACAATATAAGTACCATTATTAAACTAACCTGCTAAGAAAGAAAACATTGTTTAATTTTACATGTGATGTACAGGCATTCTCAGTACTATTGGTAGACATTGTTTGAGCGTGTTTACAGTGGTTATATCTGCTAACTTTTAACAAGCAGAATTGTTCTGGGACCTTCAAGAAATGAAGCAAATCTGCCCAGTATTCTTTTATTCTTCCTGCACAATTTCCTATTAAACAATGCAAGCTGCTGCATTTTAACAAGTATAGTACAGCAAAATAAATGAACATTTCTGTTTTATTTCTCCTTCTTGCTAGGTGTTTTGGCAGATCCTATTACTCAACAAGCATCTTTCTCATCACCTTTGGCTTCTGGAACAGGAAGTGGTTCTGCAATCACTTTTCCTGAGGAGCATGAAGACCCCAGAGTGTCTGCTGCCCAGAGTGGAGCACCTGCTGGAGGTCTGTGGGGGTTTATAAAGGTACGTTGTTTGTTTTTTTTTCATTTGTTACCATTCACAAGGAGTTGTGACTTCTTACTGACTGTATTAAGATGTATGTAGGTCGGAGACTAGGGAATTGTTAATTATGATTGAGCCATAATGTTCTCAGTGTGTTAGCACTCTTGTTTTCTAAAGATCAGATGAAATCTGGGAGGCTAGTAAGTAATGACTGCAGGAATGCATCCTGGATTCGGTGCTGATGAACTAGCATCATAGTTACAGCACCTTGTTACAGTTACCTTGTTTCTATCCTGGAACTAGTCTTAACTTTGTGCTTTTTTTATCTCCGGTGTTTTTAACAAATCATTTACCTTTCTTACAGATTTCCTTTAAATTAGATAGTGCTTAAAAGAATCTAAAATTGACAGATTGTTGGATTGGAATAGGATAAGACTATTTCAGTTCCCTGAATCTGTCTAAGATGGCAGTCTTACATATAAGTTCCAAGATTGGTTGGCATATAGTGTATCAGAAACAAAGTTGATACTAATGTAATCACCACACCCCACATCTTGAGTACCTGTTGAGCAATTGAGACAGTACCTGAATTTTCAAGAGATTTGTATTTGCAGTTTGCCAATATGGAAGATTCTCCATCTGTTTGGATTTCTGTTGACTTAGCATCAACTTGATAGAAATTCAAAATCTAATTGCATTACAGTTCACAGTGTTGTGACAACTTTGTGCTCTTCGTTGATAGAAAAATGTAGATTATTTGTCCCTGCTTTGTGATAGACCAGTGACCATAAAGGCAGTCTGCACAGGAGGAGAAACAACTCCAGCTTTTCAGGAACCTGATAATCTGTAGGGACACTATATTATAATTACTAGTTAGGCAGTCAGGCTGCAAGTATTTGTAGAAGTTTTGACTCCAGACCTGGAACTTGTTACTACAAATGTTTCTGAGGATCTCGTAGCATTCCCTCAGTTCTTTTTAAAACAACATTCAAGCTTTCGAACTGTGAGGGAACTGAGGGAGAAATATTGCTGGTCTTGTCCTTGAAGGCATCTTGTGGGTAAATGAGAAATCACAAGAACTTAGATATCAGCAGATGGATGCTACCATTCAGAGAAGTTTCTGGGGTTGTGTGTGTTGACAGAGAAACAGTTGCTGTGGGCTCTGGCTCCAAAACTTCCATTATACTAGCATGAGTAATTGTTTAATTTTCTTCACCAAATTCTGTAACCAGACTTAGTGTTCTGCTCAGTGGTGAGACTCAGTAGTGAACTATTTCACTGTGAGATGTGAGGAAATTAATAATTATTAGTCATTCTGTAATATCTCAGTAGATGTAGGATTGTGATTTTTTTTTTTCCCTCTGTTAAGCTTGCAACAAAGAAATAGTATTCATACCTATGGGAAAGAAGCCTCACTAAGGAGAAGTTGTTCAGGGATGATTAAAACTTCTCTGATTCTGGACTTAGTGAAAATATATGTTTATATACTAAGCAAGTGCTTGTTGAAAAGAAGGCATACACAGTGCTACCATGTGTAATGCTTGTCCTGTAGTGAAGCAAATGTAATCATATGCAGTTTAAATGTTACACTTTAAAGAGTCAGTCTACTGAAGAAATTTTGTAAAAGGTTTCAGTAAATTGGTTTTCGGGCTTTATCTGTCAGTTACTCAGCACTGCTGTCTTTTTTTCACCCTGTGACCTTACCTGGCTCTAAATAAACTTGTGAAGAGATGCAGACAATCATTAAGACTGCTTGCAAGACGTAGGGTAGCATATGTGTTTATATTTAATCATCTTCAAGGTTTGTCAGCAGCTCCACCTATGATTTGGCTGGAGTGTACAGAGCATTTTTTCCATATTGTTTAGAATCTATTTATAAGCTTTCAGCTTAATTGCCCTAGAAATATTTTTTAGTAATGGATTCAAAAATAGATCGCATTGTCTTTAGGAAGGGTAGAAAAGAGACCTCCTTGGCTTAAGTTAGCACAATCTAAATCTAGCTGTGTGGGCTTACCATGCCTGTAGTTAGCTTTGGAAACCTGCAACCTCACTAAATGCTCAGGGCTTCTTGTCCCAGAACAGGACTAGATCAAGTGTGTTGCCCATCACTGCTGTTGAAGATGTTTCTTTTTAAGTCATCTGAGAAATGCATTAATGCAGAAGAGATGGTAGAGATGGTAGAGATTATATCAAGTGCATGTTGTACCCGAAGAGTTGTGCAGTGATAGTCTTCTCCTGTAGCATTACACACTGATGAGTGAGATACACTAGTTGTTAAAAAAGGTAAATGTGACTAAGAAAAAGGCAAGACAAGATTTGAAGAGAGTTGTTTGTTTGCTTTGTAATTGTAACATGGACATCTGTCTGATGAAATGCAGGGTGTAGCTGAGAATCCCATGGTAAAGTCTGTTCTGGATAAAACCAAACATTCAGTGGAGTCCATGATCACAACACTGGATCCCGGCATGGTTCCATATATCAGTAAGTATTTGTGACAAGCCATTACATAACATATGCAAATAATAGGTTAATTTAATAGCATGCTGCTTACACAGTTGAAGTTCCTGTATGCAGTATGCTAATTCAAACGCAGAATATTGTACTGATTTCTTAAGCATATTGTCCAATGAACCACTTACTCTGGAGGTTGGTTTCTTTTATTTGTGTCTTTAGGTTCATTTGGCTTCAGTATTTCACTGTAGTTCATTTACTGGCATAGTAATGCCCTTTTAATACAAATTATGAATAGTGAGGAAATAACAAATAAAAAAAATTGATGATGGGGTCTTCTGTATAATCTCTTTGTTCCATACTTTTTTCTCCCACTGTGTCTCTATGTAAGCATTACAAAGTTTAAATTAAAGTATTCTGTGTATCAATCCTATTGGATCACCTATTTTAATTTTTTGTAAAATTACACATTAATATTAAAACAAGTCAAAAGATTGGCAGATTCGTAAAATAAAGGTATTTATATGACTCTAGAGACTTTGTTCCAATTTTGATGTGTTTCACAGGCAGTATTTATTTATTTATTTGTTTGTTTTCGTTTTAGGGAATGTAGCAAATTTAAAGTGAATCAAATGAGTAGGTTTGAAAAGTTAAAATTTTTAAAAACAGTTCAGTGAAACCTGCTGAGCATTTGTGAGTGCTGAGCCTGGAAGAAAAAGCACGATATTTCAACTGAACTTTGAGAATTACTAAGAGGGAGAAACTTCATGGTATTCTGCAATTTTTGTTTTTTCTAAAGTAGATTGTAAGTGATGTAAGGTTTCTATTTCATTAAAATACATAAGTGAAGACATAACTTGTCTAGGATGGTGGTTTTTTTCATCCAGAGAGACCTGAATAGGCTGGAGAAGTGGGCCCATGAAAACCTAATGAGGTTCAATAAGGCCAAGTGCAGGGTGCTGCACTTGGATCAGAGCAATCCCAGGTATTTACACAGACTGGGGGAAGATCTCCTTGAGAGCAGCTCTGTGAAGAAGGACTTGGGGGTCCTGGTGGATGAGAAGCTGGACATGAGCCAGCAGTGCTTACAGCCCAGAAGGCCATCTGTGTTCCGGGCTGCACTAAAAGAGGAGTGGTCAGCAGGGAGAGGAAGGTGATTGTTCCCCTCTACTCGGCTCTTGTGAGGCCCCATCTACAGCACTGCGTCCAGGCCAGGAGCCCCCAGTACAGGAAGGACGTGGAGCTCTTGAAGTAGGTCCAGAGGAGGGCACTAAGATGATCAGAGGGCTGGGAGCACCTCTGCTATGAGGAAGGTTGAGGGAACTGAGATTGCTTAGCTGGAGAAGAGAAGGTTCCAGTGAGACCTCATTGTGGCCTTCCAGTGCTTGAAAGGAGGTTATAAACAGGAGGGGGAACGGCTGATTTCAAAGGTGAATAGTGATAGGAGAAGGGGGAATGGTTGCCTGAGGAGGTTGTGGATGCCCCATCCCTGGAGGCATTCAAGGCCAGGCTGGATGTGGCTCTGGGCAGCGTGATCTGGTGGTTGGTGACCCTGCACATAGCAAGAGGGTTGAAACTAGATGATCATTGTGGTCCTTTTCAACACAGGTCATTCTGTGATTCTATGATCTTAAATCTAAGTGAATACCTCCCAGCAGCTCACTAGTGAGATCTGTCAGAATGCAATGACATTTTTGTACTTCGACACAGTATTCATTGGACAAGAGAAGCAGTATGTACAGAAGGAAGTCATTTTAATAATTCATTTTCTTCTAAGACTCAGAGGAAGCAAGTTCAGCAGTTATCTCAAAGTTCTCTGGATGTTGGAAAGGAAGGTAGCTGCGTAAATCTCGATTCTTGTTATACTGCGTTTATTTTGTAGCTGCACTTTATGGAATTAGGACAGAGATTTGTAAACTTAGCAAAATTTTGGAATCAGTGGAAGTCTTTCCCTCAATAGCAAGAGGCCCCATTCTCTCTGCTCTCACTTCATTGCTGCAATTTGAAGCAATTTCAGATTCCTCATGCCAAAGACTGGAAGTACCAAAGCCTCTTGATGAGGCTTTGTTAAAAGAATATTTTCACGTGCACAAATACTACTCCACTAATCTCTTACTGGAAAACGGCTGAACTATTTCATTGGTTCATTGTAAGTATCTCAGTCTAAGGCAAGCACACGGAATGGAAATTTTCTGTCTGCATAGTAAATGTTTTGTCACATTATAAGCATAAAAATCATTATTTTTATGACAAAAAAGGACAAGGAATCTTAAATTTTCTGTGGAACTGACAGTTTATAGCACGAAAGATGCAATGCAATTTCCTGTATGTAGGGACTTTAGTTTAAGTTGGTGTGGCAGTTCTGTCTCTGGATCAATGAAATTCTTACATTTCGGGTTTTCATATTTTTGTATTATTGTTATGCATGACAGATTCATTCATTTCATTTAATGCTGTAATATCTTTACTTTTTTCTGTAGTATCTGTTGAACAAGGACATACTTATGTGATGAACATAATCTATACTTGTGTGGAGCACAAGCAGGAGTTTCTTAGTTACTATTCCTAAGCTAGTATGCAGTAGCTTATTACATATGTTATGGGATAGTTTTCAGTAGTTGCTTTAAAATCTCGTCAGCAGATTTTCTATCCCAGGAGCATGCAAACAGGACGAATTTCAGCAAAAGCACATTTACTTAGCTTGATTTCTGTGAAGAAAAAATCGATGAGAAAATAGATTCCTTAATGTATTTACTGTCATTGTTTTTCCGTGCTTAGAATAACTGCTCCGGAATTCAATGGTATGTACATACAATTCCATTCAGTAAAATTAGCGGATATGTGAAAAAAAAACAAGAAAGCTTCCAACCCTAAAAAGAAGTTATATATGTTGTATTACTATTCTGACATTTCTGGCAATTCTTCATTAAGCGAAGATATTTCCTGTAATCAAAGTCTACTGAGTAATATGAGCCAAAGAATAAAATGTTTGTTTCTTTTTTTCTTTGAAATTTAGGCATCAAGCTTTTTTTTTTTTTCTTTTTTCCTTTGGAGGGGTGATGTGGAGCTAGGATTTTTTTCTTAGCTTGAGATAAAGACTGTGGACCCATCAGCAGATGTAATGAGGTGGAATTCAGTGTTTAGCAAAACCACTGGGCTTTGCTCTTTTTTTCTTTCAGGTGTAGTTTAACTGGGTTTTGTTAAGTCACAAGGTCTTGGTAATGACAGGTTAAAAGTCTGTTTCTTTATTAATTTGCTGCTCTTGTTGAAGAAATGCACCCTTGGATGACAAAATCATAGATTGTTTTAGGTTGGAAGGAACTTGTTGAGGTCTTCTTGTCCAAACCCTCAGCTCGAAAAGGAATCATTAGAACCATGTGCCAAGAACTGTGTCCCAGTGGGTTTTGAAGGTATCCAAAGAGGGAGGCTCCACAACCTCTCTGGGTAACCTGTGCCATTGCTCACCCACACATTGAAAAAAATTTGCTGATGTTCAGGAGCAACCATTAGTGTTTCAGTTTATGCCCATTGCCTCTTGTCCTGGCACTGAACACCTCTGAAAAGAGACTCACTGTGTCACCGTTGTACCTTTCTGTCATTTATTTGTATACATTAATGAGGTCCTGTGAGCCTCGTCTTCTCTATGCTGAAGAGTTGCTGCTTGTCCTCCTTTCCTTGTGGGAGAGATTCCCCAGTCCCTGAAGCATTTGTGTCAGACCAACATACTATTTGAGCAGAAGCTACAGGAGGTGCTGTTTAATAAATGACCACAGAGCTGGTGACTCACTGTAGTCTGTTCCCTTTGGGCTCGATTATCATTCGCAGCCAATGGACTAAAGATGAAAAAAGGCATGTCCTGACCTGTTGCTTTTAATGCATGTGGACATGCTGTCCACGTGTTTATCGCAGTCACTTAAACTTGCTGATGCAATTTACTTACTCTGACATGCAATGTTTGAAAAAAGTTCAAGCTGTTTTTAAGAATCCTTGTTAAAGTGCTGATAAGTTTTCTGAGATAATTTTGCATGTAGTAAGTTTGACAGTAAAAATTACCTAGCTGTGATAGACAGCTGTGAGGTACAACTGAATTCATGAGTCTTTAGAAATGTTCTTAGATTTCTTTTAATTCATGAAATGGTTTTGTTTTATTATTAAAAAAAAAAAAAAACTTAGTGAAAACTCATTATTCTTCATGGAACTCATCCTTTTCATATGGAAATTCTTTAGAAGTATTAACAATTTCTTGGATCCATGGATGTTTAATAACTAAAAATGCTACTGACTAAAAAAGAGTTGTGGGACGGAAGGTGAGCAACAGGCAAGCGTTAGAATTTTGCAGTCCAAACACTAGGAGGAAGTAATGTGATCACTTAAAAGTTTACAAAATTTGACAGTTGTTCACTGGATTCTATTAACTGAATCTGTGTTCTTCCTTGCTTTTGTAAGAAAGAATTTCCATATCACATCAACACTTCTTACTGCTTCCCAAAATGACAAAACATCCTTAGAAATAAACGTTTTGAGTTATTGTCCTAAATCCATTAGCTGTCATTGAAGGGTCTCCTTTTTTTTTTTTTTTTTTCAGGGTACTGCACATCTCCAAGTTCCTGTTGTTCTTTTTGTGTTTGTTTGTTTTTTTAACCTATAAATCTCTCAGCTCATCATCTAACTCTTCCTAATTTATGCCTGCTTCATGAAAGAACTTTTGTGCTATGTATGAGAAGGAAAATACCAAGTGAAGCATACACTTCAGATGTGGGATATATTTGAACTAGCTTTAATATGAATATAGAGAAATACATGTGTACACTAAATATGTTTTTTGTTTGTTTTTTTAAAGAAACTGGTGGAGAACTGGACATAGTGGTTACTTCTAATAAGGAAGTAAAAGTTGCAGCAATTAGAGATGCCTTTCAGGAAGTCTTTGGGATGGCTGTTGTTACTGGAGAGGCTGCACCGTCTAACATCGCACCCCAACCTGTGGGCTATGCTGCAGGTTTAAAAGTAAGTCAATAGGTAATAATGCTGAAGCATCTCCAGTGAAAAGAGAGATTGTAAAAACGTTTACCTTAAGGAATCTGACTACGTGCAGGGAGATCAACTTGTAAGGTAAGCAAACCGTTGCTTTTTGTGATCGTTGGATTGTTGTGAAGTGGCTTGCTGAAACAAGTTTTAATTTCTTGCTGTAAATATACTTACAGCAGATGAAGAATAGTTTTGTAAACCTACTTACAATTTCATTGGCTGCCTCCCTATTAATTCAGCAGATGAAAGATAGCTTGATCAACGTCACAGGAATCTTCCCAAACAGATAATAATAAGGATAATTAAGAATAATAATCCTTAAAAAATGAGAATTCACTGTGCAGAAACGGTTAACAAAGAGTGTTTCACGAGATTCGAAAATACCCAGAATATAAATATAAGGTGTATAGGTGGAACCACCTGCTGACCAATAACCAAAAATGCTGCAAAAAAACTATTTAGCATTCCGTTTCTTAAATATAAGAAAATTATTCACTTAATAATAATGAAGTAATCTCTCCTAACTGATGTGGCAGTGTTCACAACAGCACTAAGCCGCATGTTTTCTCTATGTATTTCTACTGCTGTGTCATGGTAGTATTTTCATTGCAGCCTGAGAGTGATAACAGGCTTGGTAACAGGTTCTCCTTTAGTCTTACAATCCTGGTAAAGGATTCAAAACAGACAAATCTTACGCTGCAGAAATGGCAGTGGGAGTAACAGGAATATATGTTTATCCTTTAACTAGTAGTGAAATTTGTTACAGCTACAGCATGCAAAGAATTCCAAAGCTAATGTAGATCTTTTTCATGAAAAAAATAACAAATGAGTCTTACAACTTTTTTTAACTGCTGGGGGTTCCATTCTGAATTTATTTTTTCAGTGCTGTTTTATTTTTTCAAACCTCTCATATTTTAACTTGAAAAATACATTCAGTTGTTGTTCTTTGCATTTGTCTGCAAGTACTGTGCTGTGCTTTTTTTTTGAAGAGACTTGCTTTTCAGGGAGCCCAGGAAAGGATAGACAGCTTGCGTCGGACAGGAGTAATACATGAAAAACAGCCTGCTGTGTCAGTGGAAAGCTTCATTGAGGAATTACTTCCTGACAAGTGAGAACTTTAAATATATTCCAATGAGAGGAGAAAAGAAAGTAGAATGCTCTTTATAGACTTGCAATGGCCTACGAGGAGTTACTAGCAGTACCTATCTCAGCAGAAGACAGGAGACACTCTGTGTTCAGTACTGTTCTATCAGACTTTATTTTGGTGGTGGTATTCAGCTTTTTTTCCATACATCTTGATAGCTGAATAGACAAAATCGTTGTCTGTTTCTTTCATACTATACAAGTACTGAGCTGACAAAATTAATTAGCTGTTGTAAAACCTGGAATTTGGTAGTAGCTTGCTCACTTTTGTGATTGAGCTCTCCTCTCTTGCTCTGAAATTGTATTTTATTCAGAGAGCATATTTGGAGCTGTTCTGGCATTTGCAGTAATATGACTTTTTCAGATGCAAGATTGTCATTTTCCTTTCATTGAGAATGTACAGTTTGTGATTTTTTTTCCACAAATATTAATATTGTGTTTTCAAGTATATTGTAACCTGTATTTCATAACATTCTTTTTGTCATTTTTAATAGTTTTATAATTAGCTTCCAAAACATTAAATAGTTGTTGTTGTTGTTGTTGTTTTCTCTTTCCATCTTTGCGTTTTTCTTCAAGTGATGGAGTCTTGATTCATTTGTTTTCAATATTCTCTGCTCTTGCTTCATTTTTAAAGTTACATTTAGTATCCTTAGTGGAAGATGGATGGTGAATTTTCTGCAGTAAATAGAATTAGGAACCATTTTCATTTTTGTTTAGTGTTCACTTCCATCTAGTCCAATTGAGATGTTTTGTCAGGTACACGAAGGAGTAACTCTAACAACCAGATTTCTTTTTCAAAATAATTACCGTTCTCTTCCTTTGAATTTACTAATTCCTTAGTCAGATATTTTTTGTTTGTTCATAAAGTAGTCAACATGATTGAGCTGGCTTAGAACTGCAAGTAATTGAAAGAAATGCTAGCTTTTCTGCCCACGCTTTACAGGCCCCACAAACATTTTAGTCTTCAATATCAGTTACAGTAGAAATAGAATAACTTAACACACGATTTAATTCTTATTGAACAGGTGATTTTGGAAGCTTCCCTGCGCAGTGCTATGAAAAACATTTGAACTATTTTTGACCCTACTTTTTCTGCAGTTAAATGATAGGTCATAATCACTGAGAGAGCAGAAGGACATTACTTCCCTTCCAAATGCGTATGCTGGATACTATTTGCAGAAAATATTGCAGTGTTCTTTTTCTGTTATGCTTCCCTTCAGATTCAAACTACTTTATAAATTGAGAGCACTTTAACAATGAAGCTGTCTCAACTGTCTTTCATAGTTTCAGGCAGGAGTAGTGCTCTATCAGAAGTGCATCCCGGTGCTGTTTCCCCCTATAAAAGAGGGTGGGAGTGAAGCATTTCTTCCTCATTTGCTCCACTACACTCTTGTTCTGACATTTAGCTGTTGTCACTGCCAGTCATTTCTTAAAATCGGAGTCTTGTGTTTCTATTCAGAAGAGCAAGATTATTGCTTTCCACTCTTTAAAGGATAAAATACAAGTTATACACATAAAACAGTGACTGCAGTATTTTGCTTTCTAACTCTTCTGTGATTCTTGGCAATGCTTTTGTGTTTTTGCTTTCCCGGAGTGTTTCTGCTCTGGTATCTCAACTGTACAACTGTTTTGGGAATTGTATACAGTGAGTCATTGATGCATTGCTCTAGTTTTGTTTGGATCTTATCAGTGTTGTCAGTTTGTTGACAGGGAGAAATGATTTAATGTTTTGCAAGCTAGATACAGAAATATTTTGGGTACTGCTTCAGTAACCACTGCCATTTTTTCAGAGTGATGCCAAGCTGTTCCTGTGACTAAATAACATAAATGTTCATAGTAAGGTTAGACATACCAGAACAGTCTTCTAAATACACATCGTGAATGAGAAACCAGGTTTTTAATTGTTAGGGAAGGCTAAAGTAATGAGAAGCACTCCTGCAAGGACTATGTCAAAAATGTCCAAAATAATATAACTTGCATCCGCCGCTTTCCCTACTTTCTAGTTGTCTTAATATTTCCCATCTACACACATGGACTGTAATCACATATGAATAAAAATGATTTATACTAATTTTACTTTAAAATTACAAGATCTTCATGAAACTTTATTACAAATACCTGTGCAGTAGAGTTTACTAAATAGCTGAGGTGTAATTTGAGTATTAACGTGCTTTTAAACTGAGTGATTTTCAGTACTCAAGTGTGAAAACTTGCATGTTACTGCAGGTGGTTTGACATCGGATGTCTGATTATTGAGGACCCGGTTCATGGAATTCATCTGGAAGCTTTTACCCAGGCAACACCAGTTCCTCTACAATATGTTCAGCAGGTGAGATTCTTCAGATTATTATTTTTTTTAAACCAACGGTAGATTCATAGTTCAGACATAAGACTTCAATTTTAATCACCTTTATGATGCCAGTTCTTACTGTTGCTCCACTTAAATCTTTTAGTTTATGAAATGAAGATAAAACATGCTTCTGAGTCATGTGTATGTACTACCTGAGGTGTTTAGTCTTTTGTGGCAAAGAAAGCTTTGTTTGAGAGTCTCATTCTGCATAATTTGGCGTATGGAAGTATTAGTTTTACTTTTCTATTAATCAAAAAGAATTCTGAAAAGAAATTAACTGATAGGAAATAATAGCAAAAAAAAATTACTCAAGAAGAAATAATCCCTCCAAAATGGAATATAATTTTATCATTGTTCTACTTCCATCTCTCTGGCTCAGTGACTAAAAATAAACCTTACCAATCTTTAAATAGGTAAAATAAGGATACTCTCACTTCCTCAGGTGAGAAGGGAAAGCTTTGCAGCTCAAATGATGCACTCAACAAGTGCACCAGGTGCATGTGGTAAGCGCTCTTACCCACCCAGAAGATGTGCTTTCTTTTTTGTTTTTTAACTTACTTGGCAGAAGTTTTTGAGTTTCATCTAATCTCAGCAAAATTATGCAATAGTGAATTGTGGACACAGGCACGTTTTATCAACTCAGTGAAATAGCTAACATTCCATTTAGGCATGAGCTGAGATGACTCAGCTTTTAATAAGTGTTCATAATACCTAGCTATTAGGTGGTTTATTACCAGCAAACTGATAGCATACTGTATTAGCTAGTGTTCCTAGAACTCATTCCTGGTAGGTACGTCTCTAGAATTGTGCACGAGCTTGATGCTACTGTGAACAAACAGAGTCATACCTAAAAAGCAAGTCAGATACCCTGTTTGGCCTGTGCTATTCTGACAAAGGTTTGAATTTTCTGAAATATAAAGATGGAAGTCTTGGAAAAATTGTGCTTCATCCTGTTGTGGAAATAAGCTAGCAGTGTAATTTTTAAATACCAGCAGTAGCATTTTTTCATGAGATCACTTAGGTTTCCTGGACTTGCACTAGGAATTACTCCAGACTTTGCCCACTGCATGTTGCCTGACAGATATGAGCCATACATTAGTTCTGAAATTTATTTTTACTGGTTCTGCAAAGAATTAAAAAAACAAAACAAAAACACCACACCTGTTTAGTGTTTGATCCATGGGGACTGTTTCGAGAAAACAGATAGCAGTTGTTCTTTTTTGTTTGTTTGGTCATACCAATTCCAATAGAGTGATCATTTACTTGATTGGCTTTAGTTCTTATTTTTCAGAGATGTTAGAACTATGAGAAGCTGATGAGTAACAGCAGAAGAAATACTGCTCTAGTTTGCCACAGTGTTCTCAGAAGGGGTGTAGAAAGACATGAAGCTTCAGAAAAATTACTAATCAGTGCTCACTTACCTCAGTGAAGTTGTATTTGTCTATCTGAAAATAAGGACAGCTGTGTGAAGTTACTGCATAAATTGTCACAAGTCTACAGATCATTGATACGAATTAAGCAATTTTTTAACATAGAACACAGCTGACGTTTGCTTTTGTTTTGTAGAATATATTTTGTTATTTAAAAGCAGTTCTTAATGGATTGACTTTTAGAGTAATTTTTTCATAGAATCACAGAATGTTTGTTTTGTGTTGGAAAGGACCTTAAAGCCCACCCAGCCCGTGCTGTGGGCAGGGCTGCCCCCCACCAGCTCAGCTGCCCAGGGCCCCATCCAACCTGGCCTTCAGTGCCTCCAGGGATGGGGCACCACAGCTTCTCTGGGCAGCTGTGCCAGGGCCTCACTGCCCTCTGATGAAAGGATTCCTTTGTAATATGTAATCTAAATCTCCCCTTTTGTAGTATAAAACCATTCTGCCTTGTCCTACCACCATTAGACTACATAGAACTCAATCTCCCTTTTTATAAACCCCCGTCACATATTTGAAGGCCACAATGAGGTCTCCCCAAAGCCTTCTCCTCTCGAGGCTGAACAAGCCCAGCTCCCTCAGCCTGTCTTGATAAGAAGGTGCTCCAGCCCTCTTATCATCCTCATGATCTCTTCTAGACCCTCTCTAACAAGTCCATGTTCTTCTTTTGCTGGGATCCCTAGGTGTGTACCTTAAGACTTGTACTAGCAAGACTAGTGAAAAATTATAATTAAATTAATTTATTCATGACGCATGGCAAATCATTGACCTTTTGATTTTTTGCCTTCAGCATACGTGTTTGTTACCTTTATTCCTGTTATGCATCTTCTAGAATCAATGTTTCTCTCAGGGTTGTGCAAGAAACTTTTGTATAAATCCAGTACAATATCTTTAAATAAAATCTAAATGGCAAAGGGAAAAAAAGTCATTTTATAATTGTGTTTATGACTAAGAACAGAGGAGAAACATGCTTTAGATGATAAATGTTATTTGTTTTTCGCAATACAAAAGATTGAATATTAGAAATAAGAAAAGCAGTTACGTTCCTCATAATTTTCACTGATGGTGTGTTTTATTCTTTTAAGTAATGGGAACAGTGATAAAAGCATCTATACAGAATCCACACAGAATGTAACTTTTCAGAGTTAGACTATTAGGTGGACCGTAATGGAGATAGTGTAATTAGATATTCATTGCCTACTTCCAGGTAGATCGTTTACTTTTTACTGACAGTATGTTCTGACTAATTAGAACAAGTATTGAATTTACTTTTCCCTTTCAGTGGAGTCTGCCTCTTGTGTGCTTTTCGGTAACAGATTATTTCCATATTGGAACAGAGTGGACATTCTTACAGACTTACATATGCTGTTATTTTACAAGGCAGTAAATGAACTTTAGTCTGCTGTACATACAGTGGAAACACAATAAGTCGGTTATTTGTCAGAGAAAACCTGTATGAAGAAATTGGCCAGTAGTGCAATTCTGTGAAGAAAGAAATAATATTCAGAAGAGTCTTACTGAGGCTGGAAACCTACTCATCTTTATATAAGAGAGTGGCCAGAGGTCGGTGCCTGGGATGAGCATGAGAAGAGATAAAGGTGCTGATGCTTACACTGCTGTTTTTCTTCTGCATCAGGGAATTACAGAATGTGCTCCCTTGGTGATCTCGTGTATAGCTCTGTACTCATTTTCTGCCAGACTCAGGTGTCTTGTTACTTTTCTCTTTTGAAGGGGACAATTTATCCATCTTGGGAGGGTAGCAGTTACTTTTTTAATTAGTGTTCTAAATTATGGGGCAGTATGAAATGTGGATTCTGATGTTCTTTTATTTGCCATGTAATCCTGGTGACGTGAGAAGGATACTTCTGAAAGTTGGTAGTGGTGAAGATAGAAATAAAAGTTCTGATTTCATACTCTGAATAACCACTTCTCGAAATGTCATACAGGCTAAGAGTCTCACGCCTCAGGACTACAACCTGAGATGGTCGGGCCTGTTGATGACAGTGGGTGAAGTGATTGAGAAGAACCTACTGAACGTCAACAGGACTGATTGGCACGTGGTGTTCACTGGCATGTCCCGCCGGCAGATGATCTACAGTGCAGCCAAGGCTCTAGCTGGGATGTACAAACAACATTTGCCACCTCGGACCGTTTGAAAGAAGATTGATCCGTGACCATAAAGAATACTGGTTTTAATCCTGGAATTGTAAAAGTTACATATTCTGATTCTAAGTGGGGATACAGCACAGATTTATAATCTACTTGTAAACTGTATTTTACTTTTTGAGAAGTGAAGGTTGTTTCCGGAAATGAGTAATTCCAGTTTTTGATAACTGTGTGATTTCCAGTATGATTCATAAAAGAGGAAATCAGAACAAGCGTATTTATGACTAGGATAATAGTGTAACAGTTTATGAAGTGGAATGTGCTATTACTTGACACCTTAAAAGGCATTTGGTGTGATGTTTAATATTTTAGTTACTCGGTAACTTTTTCTAAAGATGGGGATTGTTGTTTAGCTACTTTTCTTAGTAATATAAACATGTTGGCAGCATAATATGTATGTTGTACGTGCGTTTCAGTGTAGGGAGGCAACTTCTGTGGTGGATGTTTCCATAAGGCCTGTGCTTACGTGGTACACTTCACACCACCAAGGCTTGGTGTACTTAAGTTCTCAGGACTGAAGCTGCCTAGTTCTGATAACATGTAACAGTAAATTGCTGAAGAGCACAAGTCCATGCCCAGGTGGTTGAAGTCTGGACTAATGAATTTTTGAAATACAATTTTCCAAACTGCATCTTCTTCTTTCTTTTCCCTCATTTTCTTTTTATCTTTTTTTTCTTTATGTATAGCTTTTCTATAGCGGAGATGCAATCCATCTCCAGCTAAAACGCAGATTTATTGTTGCTTCTGTGGCTTTTAGATCAGATACCATATACACGTGAAATTATTTAGTTTCCTCTATTAAGTTACAATTGTCAACAATTTCATCTAGAAAATGGTGGGATGTATATCTCTTGCTTTGTTATCCTGCATTTTCTATATGTTTGTAAGTCTTAAAGGCATTCTTGTTGTCATGGGCTGTTTTTTATAAAAGTTTCTGGTCTTGTCTGATTTTTTTTCATGGCTAAGAATATCTTCTATCCGTGCTCACACAATCTGAAATCTTTATTCAGAAATATGGGAGTAATTGTGAAGAAAATATTTTGTTAATAGTACTTTTTTTAAGAAACAAAGAATAAATAAATACTTTGTTTGCCTTAAACAGTTTTTTAGCTTGTATTCTTTTGCTTTTACCTTTCTTAGATGCCTTCAAAGGACATTTTCATACACAATATACTGTTAAGTCAGCTAATACTTGTACTCAGTGCAAGCATTTCTATTTCCAAATAATATATTTCGCCTTAATTGGCTTAGTCATAAGCTAAAAATGAGGGTATGTAGACTTCTGATTTATATTGAGTGAAGCAAAGCTCCTATATTCCAGTGGGAAACTGTGTATGAACTACTTTGAACATCCACAAGTCCTGAGGAGCTATGGGATCCATCCAAGGGGATCATCCAAGGGTACTGAAGTAGCTGGTGGCACAGGACACCAAGACATCCTTAGTTATTTACCATCAGTCCTTGACTAACTAGAGCTGTCCCAATTGATGGAGATTAGCAAACGGGAGGAAGAAAGATCAGATCCAGGGCATTGCAGGCCTGTCAGTATGATCACCAGAGAAGGTGATGGAGCTGATCACCTTCAGTGGTAACCATAACAGAACATATGGGACGGCTGAATGGTTAGATGCAGCCAGTGTGGATCTATGAAGGGCGGGACCTGCTTAGGTAACCTGATGTCCATCTGTGACAGGGTTACCTGCTTGGTAGAGGAGGGAAAGGCTCTCTATGTTGTCTATCTGGATTTTGTTTAGATGTTTGATGCTATTTCCCACAGTATTCTCCTGGAGGAACTGGCTGCTTATGGATTGGTCAGATGTACAGTTCAGCTGGTGAGGAACTGGCTGGATGACCAGGCCCAAAGAATTGTGAATGGAGTTCAAGTTGGTTGGTTACCAGTGGTGCTCCCCAGGAATGGTCTTGGGACAATTTTGTTTAACGTTTTTATCAGTGGTGTGGATGAGAATAGTGAATGTATTCACACTAAGTTTGTGGACAGTATCAAGCTAGACAAGACTGCTATCTGCTTCAGTATAGGAAGGTTCTGCAGAGTGATCTGCGTAGGCTGCAGCCAATCTCAGATGACATTTACAAGGCTAAATGCTGGGTCCCACACCTGGACCATAACAGCCCCACGCAGAGGTATAGGCTGTCTGGAAAGTTGCCTGGTGGAAAAAAAGGACAGAAAATAATCATTAGGCTTGGGTGTCCTGGGTTTGAATTAAAGTTTGAACTGGAAAAGAATTTGTTTTCCTGCTCTGTTGCCTGTTCATGTATAAGAAATAACATCCCCAAATAAAGACCAAAGGTTGAGCTTCTTTAAGAGACCAGTAAAATGAAAAAGTTGCAGTATGCTTTGGAAAGCTAACAGAGTCCATAATTATGACTTATCTGAGTGAAAGCTCTTTTCAGTCTGAGATGCAGTTGGCATAAATGAATCCAGGAGTGAATTAAAAATAACATTCAGGTTTTTACAGTCTGCTGTGTGGTATTGTGGACGTGTTAGAGAAAGCTCCACAGATGGCACATTTTGTGTTAAACGTGCTGAAATCAGTGTAGTGAAGCACATGTCAGAATACATTTAGATGTCTGAAGACAATTCTCAACTGCTTATCACTGTTGTAGAAACAGATACAGAATGGATGCTTGCTCCAATAAGGATGTTGTAAGAAAAAAGGTTCAAGGAAGCTCTCCTGCTTGTAAATGGAGGATATCAGCAATTGTAAATGATCCAAGGGATGCATCCAGAAGGAAGGGAGACCAATTATATAAAGAGAGTATGTTGCTGTGCTTTATTTCTAGATTTGGAATTATTGTTGAGTTGCTTTGTTTACTGTGGATTTTGTAGCAAGCACCACTGAAAGCAGTTTTTCCATGACCACAGTCTTTTTCATCATATGTCATGTGTATGTCATATGTATTTTCATCATATGTCATCTGTATTTTCATGATATGTCATCATATTTTTCTCAAAGAAGTTACAATTGTCTCAGCACAAAATACGTGTTCTTAATAAGTAATGTTGTAGAAAGAACATGATTTGGTCTGAGGTCCTTCCGTTATAGCTCCTGTCTCACTGCAGTCAAGCAGGGAGCAGAAGGGTGGGCTGTGAGAGATTGTCTGCATCTTCTAGGTAAGCCAAAGTGTAGCAGTGGCTGCATGCTCCGCTATGGTGGTGGCACTGCTTGTTTTTGCTGCACATCTTCATAATGATTTTGTGATTTGTTTCACTGCCATTATCTGATCAGTTCAATTCCTTGAGGCTGAACTGAGACATGATTGCAACAGTGCTTCTCAGTACTGCCTGGTAGAGTGACAAAAATGTTCTCTAAAAACCTTTATGTGCCTGTGTGCTTGTCAAAATGTTTATTTGTCCACTATTGAACTGTTTTGTAAAGAGAACTTTAGGTAGATGAAGCCCATTTTTCCAGCTTGCATTAAATTGAAGCATATCTAGGCTAGCTGAATGAAGGCCGAGTCAAAAACATAGGGGAACATTCATCAGCTCCACTGTTTGCCTGAACACTTGCTGCTTTTGTGTAGCCTCTTTAATGCTAAGTGTTTAAATGCACTGCTTAATACATGTTAAGGTAGAGATTCTAAGTCATCTGCAGGTGGCACAGCAGCAGCATTTTACTTATTTTGGAAAACAGTCATGAGTGATAAATTCAGGCTGAACCTGAGAGGATCTCTATATGCCAAAAAGAGATGGATCAGTCGGTCCTCAGAAAACAAATAAAACAAAAAACAGCACAAGGACCTTCTCTATAGGACAAAAACTGGATTCTTATTTATTTGTTTATTTTCAAAGGCTGAAAAACAGCTTCAGAGCACCGTGAAAGGGTTTAAGGAATAAGACCTAGCTCCTGCTGGTGAGTAAAGGACTGAAATTCCTTTGTTTTGTGTACTAGCTCTTAGAGCCAGTTTTTCTGCTTCTTCCACCAAGTACAATTTTAGTAGGTGAGAGAGAAACTAAATATATTTCCTCTAGTTTCTTTGTTCTAATTAACATTCCTGAGGAGGAAAAAAATAACCTGCTATGTCAATAGCTGTCTTGTTAAGATGATATTCTGTGTCACTTAAACATTTACCATAGCAAATTACTCCTACTGGCCATTATTACTGAGCTTTTCTGTTTGCAGGAGGTGTTTGGGGATGATTATTAGCAGTGGGTTTAGGGAATGAATGATTTTTTTTTCTTTAAATAAATATACTGTCTGGTCCAAATCCACAAGAAGTAGTCCTCATAAAAAGATGATGTTTAAATAAACAAAGCAGAAAATCTGAAATGATGGCTCAGATAAGAAATCTGTCCATAAATATTCACATGCCGTGATAAAGCCCATAATGGGCTGAGAGGTTCCCTGGTGCAGAATGAATGAACTGTGAAAGTCTTATCAGAATGTGTAACCAAACAAGTGGGAAGCTAGAGCTGAGAAAGGAACTCCAGTGCAAGCATTCTGTTCGCCTACAGGTGGGCAACAGAAGTGGGATTGTCTAAATAAGGCTGAGACAAGCTGAGGGTTCAGGAGAGTATGAAATAGTAAGGCTTAGTTTTCTCTCTTTTTCCTATACTTAGAGATTATGTTCTCGTAGCTGCTGTATTCATTTAGTACAGAAGCAGGATAACCCATCTTTTTGGAAATATCTGTAGCCTGCCTAACAGTTTTCCTGCAGAATTCCAAGTGGAAAGCTTTGTGTAGGGAAGCTGGACTCTCTTCTCAGCAGTGTCACACTCAGAAACTCAAAACTAGTGCCTACCTTTTTACAAAGGTAACAAAGTGCAGATGAGGTGCAGCAGAGAAGGGCTTACATGTGCCAACTTCATTCTTAGGGAGTGGTGATGACAACAGAAGGAAAAGCATCAAAACAAGTTTAGTCTCTGAGTCCATTTGAGATAATTGTTATTCTGTGGTGAAGTCCTTGGCACTGCCTTTTCAAACACTTGTTAATTGTGTCAAGGTACAGATAGCAAAGTACAGATAGCTGGTGCTGCTTTTTCTTTTGTATCGTGTTGACCTCCTAGGGTAGATCACGAATATACATGGCTTGGCAGACTGCAAAAGTCAAGATGAGCTGTATGATCCATGCAGGGATTGGGGTCAGATCCTTTTGTGATTGACTTCATTTTATGAAGTTTGAGCAGCCGTGAGTAAGAGCAAATAATTAAAATAAACAAATAAACAAATAAAAGAAAAAAGTTGTATCCATTTTAATCAGAAATTGATCTATATTATGTAGTATTCCTAGCAGAATAAGTTCTCTTTTTGTTCACAATCAGCTGAAGTTACCTGGGGCAGCTCTCATACGCTGCATCTGCTTTTTGTCACTGCATCATCATTCAGAACTGAACTGCTGTAGAACACACTCAGCCATTGAAATGGGTCTGGACAACTTCCATCCAGTTGCCCTCTTCAGATTTGCTGTAGATGTCTGTGGAGAAAGAGTAGGACATGGGAGCAGGGGCCGCTAAGACAGCAGATATAATTTGTTTTCATGGACCATCAATTTATTCAAAATCAGAAAGAAATCACATTTGAGCCCATATGCTTTCCAAGATGTTCTGCTCTAACAGGAGTTTCTAGAAATGCCTTCCAAGAGTTATGCCTTCCTTTTTAGACATCTGCTCAGTCTGGGCAAGTGAGCTTTGGCAGAAGAAGGCAAAGAGAGGAATGTAGCCTGAAATGATGTGGCAGAAGTCAGAAGACAGTCAGAGAAACAGGAATGTTCCGTGAGGAATGGAGAAGTGCCACAAGAAAAGGTAGATCAGCTTGATCTGCTTAGGGTTATTCAGTGCACTGGATGCAGTACAGGGTAATTGAGGGAGCAGGTGGGAATAGGTGTAATTTCTGAATGAAAATATCTAGAGTTTGTGTGCTACTGCTGATTTTGGTCAGTTCTAGAAGAACATGAATTCATACACGCATCTCCTTCAGTACGGTGTTTAAACAATTTGATTAGTCGCCTTTCATAATCATACAATGTGGGTTTTGTATCTAGAAAAGAAGTATTTATCTCTGAAC